ATCATGCATTGAAATATATTATCTCAAACGAAATGAAAAAGAAGTTCGAGTTAACGACTATAATCCTTTACTGCTGAAATTGTGGCGTGCAAGTATGGACTTGCAATACATAGCAGAGAGGAGTCTTTCCTTAACAGAGTATGTAACTGGATATGTCACTAAAGCAGAAAAGAGTCATGCACAGGACTTATGGGATGAAGTCAGCAGCTGTGACAACATATATAGCAGGCTTTGGAAAATTGGACAAAAATTACTTTGAGCTAAAGAAGTAGGACTATATGAAGCTAGCGATCTTCTTCTTGGTGAAAGTTTATACATGAAATCAGTAACTGTACAGTACGTTAATGTGTACTTGCCTCATAAGAGGAGCAGAAAATTCAAAACTTTTCATATTTAAATAAAATGGATCGATCTTCTAAAGACATTTTTAATCCTAGTATAATTGAAGACTTTTATTCAACAAGACCAAATAACATGGAAGATGTATCTTTTTATGAATTTGTTGCCAATTACAAATTTGATAAAATAGGAGAAAATGGAGAAAGAGAATACAAACTTCGATCAAAGCCAGTCCTTCCAAACCATAGGAAATTTAATCCTATGCAAGAAGCGGAAAGAGACGATTTTTATTACTCGCTAATATTTTTATTTGTGCCTTTTAGAGACGAGAGCACACTTGTAATGGAAGGAGAAACAATGGAAGAAGCTTTTAGGCGTCACAGAGAAGCATCTATACGTGGCATTGAAAATCATTTCAACAAACTACAGAAATTATTAGAAGCTGAACGTAATTGGAAGAAAAAAGTCGATGCAAGAAATAAAGCCGGTTTCACTGAAGAAGAACTTCCTGATAACAAGGAAGATGATGAGCCTCAATTACTAGGTGAAATAATGGAAGCAGTAGCTGATATTGCTGACATGCACATAAATGTACCTAATTTAACATTAGAGCAAAGACAGGCAATGCTTAATGTAGATCAAAAAAAAATTTTTGATAAAATTAAGAGTCATCTTTTAAGTCAAAAAGAACGTGAAGACTTATTAGAGAATGAGTCTTCAAGACTACTTAGATTAGATGATATCAAACCGCTAAGGATGTTTATTAGTGGTGTAGGTGGAACTGGTAAATCGTTTTTGATAGAGGCAACAAAATGCCTAGTGAATGACATATGGCATCCAAAAAGTGGTGAAATTATGTGTGCTATAGTAGCAACAACAGGTATAGCCGCATTTAATGTAGGCGGGCTAACAATACATAGATTATTTCAGCTACCGATAGAGCATGAGGGAAAGACAGCTGGATATTGGGCTTTGAGTAAAGAAGCTCAGAAAAGAATAAAAATTACACTTAAAAATTTAAAAATTATAATAGTAGACGAGGTATCTATGGTATCCAATCTAAATCTAGCATACTTACACATGCGCTTAGAAGATATATTTGGAACTGATGAATGGTTTGGATCCAAGAATATTTTATTTGTAGGTGACCTCTTACAATTGCCACAAGTTAATGGTAGGCCAGTATTTAATAAAATTAGCAACAAACTAGTAAAAACTAGACTTGGAGCAGCAAATGCAGTTAACATATGGAAAGAAACAGTAGAATATGATGAACTAACAATCAATGAGCAACAAAAAGGAGACGAAACTTTCTTTAAAATGCTTGATTCTGTTAGGCATGGCTGTCTGACTGATGATACTATTGATACGCTTAAAAGTCGTGTATTTAATGTTTCAATACAAGAAAAATATAAGGAATTGGAAAGTGAAGGAACAAATCCTCCAATTTGCCTATTTTCTAAGGTAGATGCCTGCCAAAAAATCAATGAATTAATGTTAGAAAGTCTAGAAACTGAGAAAATAGAATTAGCATGTGTTGATGTTGTTGATGAAAGTGGCAGCACAGCAAAATTTGACAAAAAACAAGAAAAAAAATTAGATAAACTAAAAGATCAACCAAGCAAAACAGCTGGTTTAGAAACTGTATTGTTTTTAGCAGTAGGCTGTAGAGTAATGCTAAGACGTAATGTTGATGTGACTGTAGGATTAGTTAATGGTGCCATTGGTACAGTAATGGGTATTTATGCTACATGTATATCAATCAAATTTGATCATATTGATGTACCTTGTGACATAGAAAGGGTTACATCTAGATTTATGCTATCTAAGAATTTGTATATACATAGGAAACAGTTTCCCCTCATACTTTTTTATGCTATTACTATACATAAATGTCAGGGCCTCTCACTAGATGCAGCCATTATTGATTTATCGACTGATGTTTTTGGGGATGGTATGGCATATGTTGCATTGTCTCGTGTACGTACATTAAAAGGATTACATTTATTATCATTTGATCCTCTCTCTGTTAAAGTTAGTAATTCGTGCATTAATGAAATTAACAGACTGAGAACTAATTTTCGGAATGACTTACCTCAAATCAAGAAAAGTAAAGGAAAGAAGAGAAAGATTCAAGTGACTGGTATAATAGATGATGGTGAACCTTGTAGTAAGAATGCCAAGGTGTCTGTAAGTCATGTACAAAGTACTAGTAACAGTACTGTTAGTAGCAATAAACGTAAGAGTACTGATTTACAAAAGTCTAATCGCCCCAAAAAGAGTAAAATATGTGACAATAATGCTTTAAATAAGCCTTGCCCCCAAAAAAGAAAAGTTGATGTAGACAGTAGTACTGACAATACTGCTTTGGTATTGCCTCGCTCAAAAAAAGATGATAAATTAATTGCTTCAAATTAATTTGAAAGACCTAAAAACCAAATTTAATGTCAAAGATGATGATAGTTGTAGTAGTCTCATTGTATCTATAAAACTCTCAAACATTAAATGTAAACCAAAAGATGATAAAACCAAGTGTGTTGTAAAAAAATGACCATTGTAGTAGTAGTCTGATTGTATCTATAAAACTGTCAAGCATTAAATTAAAGACAAGTAATCCAAAAAAAGATGATGATGTCATCTTTACTTATGAAGAGCCTCCCAACCCAGATTATGTGAGAAGGAGACAATGGGATTATGTTTATTACCCTGGTAATGAAGAATATCAAAGAAGGTGGTGTGAGATTTTAAATCTCAAATTTGTCACAGCTGCTAGAATTTTACCTGGTAGTCCAACAACACCATTGTCAGATGAAAGAGTTCCTAATAGTACTCTTGATGTCCCTGGTGATGGGAACTGTTTATTTTATGCCCTTTCATATCTCATCTCTGGGTCAATTTCTCAGCATTACGAATTACGTAAAGCAATTGTTAGTAATATGCCAAACTTTGAAGAAGAATTGTCTAATAGTACATTAAGTGCAACCAGATATTCAAGCATATATGATTACATAATGAAGTCCAAAATGTATAGAAAATGTGTGTGGGCCACTGACACAGAGATTTTTACATTATCTGCAATATTAGGTACAACCATATATTCATATTCACTAACTCCTACTTTTGTTGGCTGGGCTAGATATGGAACCCAAACATTATATGGCATTCCTTGTGATACTAATACACCTGCTTTGTATTTGAAGCATGTTGGTACTAATCATTTCCAAGCAGTTAAGTCTATTAATATTTCTTAAGCATTGATTGTTGATGGAAAGTGGGTATGGTTTATGGGAGGTCCATCATTTATATTTCACTGCATGTTGTACAATGTGAGTGATGTGTGAGTGTGTCTGAAAACCATTGGTGCATATCCATCCAGTATTGCTCAGTATGAAGAGATCTAACTGCATTCAGGAAGTGAGATTAATCAAGGTATAACAAATAACAGTAAATATTGTTTACTTGTTGCTATGATGGACAGGGAGAGGGTGTGAAAGAGGTTTACTGTTCATTAGAGTTTAGCATTGATTCAAATTTGTGTGACTATCATTTATGTAGGACAGAGGGTTAGGAAGGGAGGAAGCTGTCATTATCAAATCTGGATCTTGTTTGTGGCTTGTACTACATGTTTATTACAAATAACTGATGCTTATGGATCTTGGCTCTGCTGACAAAATTTGAAATCATGACATGAAAAATTTTTGAGTAACATTAAAAGTTGTTATTTTACATTTAGTATTATTCAAGCAGTAATTCTGTACATATAATAATGATCATCATGCATGTTAATGCTGCCATCAATACTGTGCGCATTACATGTATGTAAATGCTTGCCAGCTGATGTTGCACATAATGCTGCCATCAATGCTGTGCGCATTATTAAGTTAATGTTTGCCGGCTGATGTTGCGCATTTGAATGATGCTGCCATGAATGCTGTGCGCATAATAAATGCTTGCCAGCTGATGTTGCGCATCTTGTATTGATGATTGTTGTAACATGTGCATGTTCTCATTAAAAAAATATTGTTTGCACATTGGAAATACTTTATGCACACAATGATATTTTATATGAAGGAGGTCATGAAAGTATCTTAACTGAGGTTAGCATTAGTAAGCAATATTATGTCTAAAATACATGCATGCACATACATGTATGATCCAATCAGAAACATTGTAGATGCTACCATTATCATTATTAGTTAGTACTTGTATCTCACATTCATAATTTATACAGGTATACTTAGGACTACAATGTGGTGTTAAAGAGTGAGGTCAGACTTAGAATGAGACTCAACAGCTGAAGGGGACGTTCCTCTATGTGAGCATCTGTATCTTGTTAGTGGTTTGTAATGTATGTTTGTGACAAACATAAGGTATATTATGCATATACATGTATATGTTTAGTATAGTGTACATGTAGTGGATTATTGATGCATTTATTGTGCTTGTAGTGTTTGATGATTATCATGCAAGAATTTCATCCTTTTATAGTTTGTTGTAAGTACATATGTACTATAATGGAGTTACAAGGAATACAAAAGTTCCATGTGATTGGTAATAAAGTTTTTTCACCATTACTGTTTGTACTATTGTTATTATTAGCCTGTGTGTTTACATTGTTTGCATTTGATGTGCTTATGTTACTATGCTTTACAGGTAATGACAGCTGGAAAGGATTTGATGATTCAGCAATATTTTCATTGCTTGATATTGGAATGTGCAATATAATTAAAGGCAGTTCTGGATTTCGATTGTTGTTACTAAATTTATTTCATTATTAAATGCAACTTAATGTTTTATTGTAGGTCCTTGATGAGTCGTTGTATCACACTGCAGGAGGTGCCTGCATAGGTTTTACATTACTGTAGCCTAAGGAATAGAATATATAGTAAGATTAAATATTGTGAGATTCCAAAGTGTCCTATGTATTTTGTCATAGGGTATGATTCAAGGTTACATGTACATGTATATTTGTTTGATGGGTATGTCATATAAGCATGGCCACAGTAGGTACTATCACTATAAGTTATTGTTTGCCAGTACATTTTTCGTTGATCATTGTTAGTTTATTGTAATAATATTATTATGTGCATGCATGTTCTCATTAACAAACAACAATTGTTTGCACATTGGAAAGTATTCATGTGTTATTTTTGTAGATTATGAATGACAGCACTGTGCATGTTTATGTACGTAATCAGTATGTCCATAATAATGATTATTAGGTAAGATTTAATTTTTTTAAATCATGCATTACGATAGTGTGAATTTTTTTCTAGAAATATTGAAAGAAACTAAAGGGAATAAGCATTTATGTCTTGTCAAACACTTGGCATTACTAATGTATTTTCTTCCTGGCTTAACGCTGATGTATTTTTAATTCACAGTTTGATTATTTTTTAACATCTATTATTATAATGAAGTACATAGTTAATTAAAGTTATAGTTTTTTGTTACGGCCCCTCTGGGCCTCGGCCTGCGGCCCCTGCCCCTGCCAGCTCTCCTTGGTAGATTGGCATACTATTACGGAATATAAAGACAATATTAAGTACATCATAGTAAAGACTTACAATCTGTCTATTCACAGCCCTCAGATGGGCTATTATCTGCTGCCTTTGCTGTTGAAGCAAAGGCAGTCCTGGGGCAGGAGGGGCTACTCCATGAGGGAGCACTGGTGCACTTCCAGGAGGGAGCACCGGTGCCACTCCAGGAGGGAGCACTGGTGCTCCTCCAGGAGGGAGCACCGGTGCACCTCCAGGAGGGAGCACCGGTGCCACTCCAGGAGCGAGCACCGGCGGGCCTCCAGCTCTTCGGACTGGGATGGGGAGTGCTGGTGGTGGTGGTGGTGGAGGCCTTCCATCTCCAGCTACTGGCGGTGGCGGATGAACTATGTGCTCATCACCAGCATCATCCATTATAAAGTATGCTACCAAATAAGAAGAAAATAAATTGATAGCTAATTTAATTTGTAACTGAACTGACTTCAGTGCTTCTTTAAAAAAAGAAAGTTGTAGTAGTTAACTTGAGAGCAAAACGGCAACTGAAATTGAATCAGAATGTTAACTTAAATAGTTTCAGAACAGGAAATAGATCTTAGTATTAATGGTCAATAACGATGAATAATTATTAGCTAGGCTATGAATATAATTAATGATTGAAATATTAAAAAAAATTAATAAAAAGTAATTGTATGAAAAATGTTTTTAAAATGCGATAGGTCTTATTATAGTCTTTATTTCAAAATTCTTTTCTTCCAGCAATGAACTGATAACTAAGGCAAAATTTGTAATTATTAATAAAAAGGATTATTAATTAATTAATAATGATGAAAATTATGAGCTGGGCTATAATTAATGATTCAAAAAATCAAAATAAATAAATTTATAAATTAATTATTAATAATTCTATAATTATTAATAAAAAGGATTATTAATTAATAAAATTTAATAAAAAGTATGGAAACAAGTAAATAAAAAAATTTCTATTAAAGAAGAATAAGTAGGGTTGTCAAAAATAAAAGAAACAAGGGGGTTGAGTTCAAACATAATAATAATTAATAGTTCAATTAATAATTATAAACGTTAATTAATAAAAAATAATAATTCATAAAAATTGTACAAAGATTTCAAACCCTACTTTGCAGAATTTTATGAAGGAGTATTGTTTCCTGTAAAATGACAAATTTTAATGAAAGATTGATAACCAAACTGCTTAGTTTCGGCCTACACAACTGTGGCGAGTCCAATTACAACTCTTATACATTTATTTTTTAGATATTGTACTGAATCACAAACATTAAAGAATGCAATAGCCAAATAATTATATATAATTTAGATGTTTTAATTGTCATGACAATAATTTATTCAATCAATACTAGCTGAAAAGTTTTATTTATATTTAACAATAATTAATTTACATCATAGAAATGTAGTAGAGCAATCAATAGGTACAAAGGCATAATTATTATTAAAATTCTATTTCTGCCTATTATCATTTTCTGCAGAGTAGGGTTTGAAATCTTTGTACTACTTTTATGAATTATTATTTTTTATTAATTAACGTTTATAATTATTAATTGAACTATTAATTATTATTATGGTTGAACTCAACCCCCTTGTTTCTTTTATTTTTTGACAACCCTACTTTTTCTTATTTAATACAATTTTTTTTATTTATTTGAACTGATTTAGGTACCATTGGGTGTCATTCTTAAGAACGAGAACATATTGGAGGAGATGATGGATATTATGATGCAACTACATTGTTATGTCCCAATAAAGCAGGGTTCTATTACAGATCCAGAAAGTGGTGTGGAAGTATCTCGAGTCGTTCACAAGATATTATTTGGTGGGGATCAACTCACAGGCGGCTATAGGCCCTGGCAAGCCAGGGCTTTGCCCCGGTAGGTTTCAACCAAAACCACACCCAAAAGGTTTGTGTTATCATTAGGAGTGAGATCATCACTAGAATTCATTTTTTATAGCCACAACTGTTTATACTTTGTATCAGCTCCACTTTACAGTTATTTCAGTGTGGTAACTGACTTGTGAGCTATCAAATGACTTTTTAGTCATTTTATTAATTGACCACACCCCTAATTTTTATGAATAATTAATGAGCCCTGGTTAATTCAAGATTCTGTAGCTGCCTATGGATCAACTTACCAGAAAACGTGCAGTCAGCAAGAGAAGGAATAAGAAATAGCATCAATGCTGCCACTACGTTGGATGGCTTTGTGCCTGTTTGTGAGGCTTGGCATGTCAAAAAGATTTTTTTGGAGGTTAGTTATTTTCAAGTACTGACATGAACATGTATATATGATGTTTTTGCTGGAATTTAGAATTTAAAATTACTGAAGACACATTTTGATTTATTTTATTTTTTACTTGTAGATGATATGGTCCTGGATGTATGACACGAAAAGCTTTATGGATAAAGGGACTTTGTGTCAATTAAGGAACATGATCAATCGCAGAAACACTTCTGCAATAGCTGCAGAAGATTGTAATGCTTGTGAGGAGTTTTTTCTTTCAGTTGTTGAAAGTCACATAGTTACTGCAGTGATGACTGTTTTACAAATGAATTCGACTGATAACATTCCTGTTCATCCAGTTCTGACTAAAGATCTTTGGGCTAAACCGGTGGAAAGCAGAAAACAAGTTATTGAGGAAGTAACAAAGCAGATCTATTTATGTTTTGTGGATATTTTTGCCTACTGTGACCAGGATGATGATGTAGATGGAGATGATGTGAAACGTTACACTATGCAAATATTGTCACAGGTCCTATTGTTTATGGAGTTTGTAGATGGTATTAGGGAAGGAGACGGGGAAAAAATTTTATGCTGTTTGCACTATCTAATGCTAGTCTTTAAAGCAAGGAGAAGAAAAAACTATAGTATAGAAGCACTTAACCTTCTAGCACAATACCACTTCTTTTTGCCACAAAGGCAGGTGAACCAGCTGATATGGTCAAGATGTGTCAATATTCACGGGCTTCCTGGGAGGAATATTTCATCTGATTTATACTTAGAACATTTGAATAAGATTTGTAAGCAAGCAGTTTCAACATTGGGAGCTAATAAAACGAAAGCAGCATTACAACAGGTTGGTCAATGTATTGGTGTATTGCATAGCTTGCTGTCTCAATATGATACCGACAAAAGTGGCAAACATTTCAGGATGTCACTCTTTCACTAGTGCAGATAAAGATAGGAGGATCCTAATTAAGTAATTGATCAATGCTAACGTCTTTTCATATTGCCCAGAAAGGTCACACAGCTGTTTCAAGTCTGTTAACATAAACATCATTTCATCTACAAAGCAGAGCCCAAAATTGCGTAAGTGGATGGAGGAACATTTGTTTATCATAAGAAAATGATTGATATGAGACCGTAATGTATGTACATGTATATATTAATTTCAAAATAATATTCATGAATGATAATAATTATTACAATTTAGATGCATACAGTTTAGAATTTTTTAATTAAAAAAGGCAGGAAGAAATGTGTCTATTTGTTGAAGTGATTCAAGGCATTTTTTACATTTACATTCTGTCATGCATATGTCACACCATCTGCAACTTTTCTTTAAACTAGTAAGTATAACAGTCCCTTCAAAGTCACGAAATAGTACCGGATGCCTGCAAGAACTCTTATTCTTAATGTAGCCTACCATAGATGGTTCACAGTTTTGCATCAGATGTTTTGCATGTAGCATAATAGCATAAGAGTTATCTTCAATCCTGCCTGCTCTCCCAATTTGTTGATTGTAAGTTTCAGGATCAGAAGGAACACTGTAATGTATAACAAGCTGAACATTGTGGCAATTGATACCCATACCAAAAGCCTCTGTACAAATTACAATTTGGAGATTAGATGACTTGGTAAAACTGGCTATAATTTTCTTCTTTATGTCTTCATCTGTGCCTTTAAAAAACATATCCACAAGACGTGCTTCAACAACATCTGATAAAGTCCCTCGTGGATTGGTGAAGTATGGTCGCATACACATTTTGAAATACATATACAGCTTTGGACAGTCAGTCTTTTGCTTACAAAATATCATAATTCTGGGTAAGTCTATCAGCTTCTGACAAATCTATTCCAGAATCAATTGAAAAACCTTCAGAACTTCATATTCATTGTACCCCCCCCAGTATTAGAAATAAAGTAAGTGCTATATTTTGTTTTTCAGGAGAGTAAGTGCTATATTTTTTTTCAGCAGACCTTAAAATAGTAAATGGGTTTCTCATTCCTAGTAACAACTCCACTTTCATTCTCAAAGGTTTTGAAGCTTTTGCAGTTAAAGCCATAACTCCCACAGTAGATGGCATCAGACTTTTAACTTCTTGAATTTGTGGGAATGCCTCCCTAAATGATAATCCCCTATAAATGAAATTATGCTAGTTAAAGGCTGTGCATGAACATTAAAGAACAACTTTACTTTCCATTTCACCACACAATGCGCCTCATCAATGATCAGCCAAATCAATCGTTCGTTATATACTTAAGACGAAAAGATACATCTCCAATTCTCAACCAGTTGCTCTGGACTGAAATACAATTGAGTAAATCCAGCAGTCACATTCTTCTTAGTTTCAGGAGAAGATTCATAATCAAGTTAGCCAGCGGATATATTTTTACTCAAAATTCTGTAAGTTGATCACAAATGAGAGCAGTTAAAGGAGAAACAACTATAATGATTGATTATTATGAGGTGTCCTTCCTTGGTATACATCTATAGCATGTGGGAGACATGTAACGCAGGCTAACTTGCCAAAGCCTGTGGGCAAGGTTACAAAAACATCTCTTCCTTCCATAAATGCCTTAATAGAGTACAACCGTTCTTCCTTAAGAGAAGGATAACCAAGCAAACTTGAAACTTCTTTTACTGCTGCCTCCATGCCTAC